GTGACGATTTTTATTAAATAGAGAATTATTCAAGATTATGCTGACATCTTAGGCAACAAAGAAGTGTGTGTTTACGCTTTATTATAATAGTATAGATTAAGTTAAAGTTAGATCTACATAACGACTGAACATAACTAGATTAATTCCAAGCTGAACAGTTTACCAAATCTTATTTATTAATGTTTTAAATGATAACCATAGCGGAGGTTTTAAACGCACCCCTGTCATAGAATACCTCTGAAAGGGTGATACGTAATGAAGGCGCATTTAATTGCTATTTTGCTCGCGTGTATGCTTCCATCCCGCGGAGGGTCTGGGGCTTTTATCTCGATACATCCCTATTCCGGTCTACTCTGTGCTGTTTATTTCATTTGCGATATTAGATCTGATTCATGCGGTGTTACCTATTAACGTATTTATAACATCTTCAGATGAGATTTAAGATTTAAACGTTTAAATGTTGGGTAAGTATTTAAGGTGTCTTTTGTTATGTATTATGCCCCGTTTAAGTTCAGTTTGATAGCCTCAGAATTAACGCTGGAAGCGATATTATAAACAATGGTGCCAGTGAGCCGATATAGTTCATGCCAGGACTGGCTGACTTCATTTCAACACTTTAAACAATATAGTAAGGATTTTAATTCAATTTATAATTCCTAATGTTTACACCACTCCTTAAGTATTGTTTTACTTTTGTAAAGCTATTATGGTCAAGTCTTAGGACTGACTTTGTTGTTTCTTGTACCTAGTTTAATATCCATATAAGTTTTATGTTATATTAGCATTCGCCAGTGACTCCAGCCGCGTGGCTTAAAAAAACGAAAAGCAAATAGCCTATGTGTCCTTCCAGCCTATCCTCTACATCATTGCCAAATTTCATCGAGATCCGTTCAGCTGTTTAGTCTACAAACTCTAACAAACATCCATCCATCGTATCGTAGGATTTATTTTACACAGAAAGTACTACGTGAGGTAATTTAATGATATTAATAGTATATTCGTAATGTATTAATTGTATATAATTGTTGGCGTAGACACAACCTGTGCAAGTTCACATAATGTATAACGTTTTCCGCACAGGGCGGCGCGCGGCGTGTCGGCGCGCTCAAAGCGGCGGGCACGGCGCCGGCCCTTTGATCTGCCGCTCATACGGTTTAGGTATAATCTGAACCTAAAGCTGAAAGCCCTTCTATTTCGGTAGACTGTCTTGGGGTTGTTCAGTTAAAATCTCTATTTATTTATGTTAAGTTTCACCTTTATTTTATTGAAGTGAAGAGACAAAATTGCTCTATCGTAATGTTCATTGATTTTCTTTTTCTATTTAAATATAAAAATGATATAAAAAGAGAAACTTTTGTTATAAATATAATGTTAAACTGGCCGCTGGCAATAATTAAGCGCAATGGAAAGTTTTTTTTTAATTTCCAATTACTGGCCACAAATAGGAAGCGATTTTTTTTTTCATTTTGACATTTACGTCTTTAACTTAGATAAAATTATTTAAAATATTCCATACCTAAATCAGTTGCAGTTTAATTCGCTATAATTTAAATCGCATACAAAGTTTCGTTTATAACCGGAATGAACTTTATTAATTTGATATGAGCGATGTCAGCCGTCATTAACTCGAGTTACGCTACACGTATGTAGGACCACCCGCGTGGCATGCTGGACCGGACGTGATACATATTGGCGTCACTATCTTTGATATTTCCCGGAATATGATGACCAAATTATAGCTTTATGCAGGTATATTATTATTTAAATTATTTAAATCTTACTTCTTGCTATCCTACTAATAATGTAAATGCCAAAGTTTAGATGGACGGATGTTTGTTAGAGTTTGTAGCGTAAACTGCTGAACGGATGTAGAAGAAGTTTGGCATAGATGTACTCGTAGAGGATAGTCTAGAAGAATACATGGACTACTTACTTTTGTTTTTTTTTTTTTAATTCAAGGGTTTGAGTCGCGGACAATAGTTAGTACTTACATAATAATTTGACACTTCACTCCGGTGACATCAAATGATATGTGCAAATAACATATTTCCGTTTTAACCGAATCTAGCACACTTCTCTTTACTTTGATACATCTATGCAAGCTCATCGATTACTCTCTTAAAACAGCCCTACAATACCAATCAAGGCCGAATAAAATTCACCTTGCACGCCTATTAACCTCAAAAGGCAATAATACGGGTTCCCATCTGCTCAATATACGTGACAACGATAACTCTCGTGGCCAGTAAATAAATATTCAACGAAGGCCATACATCTCACTAATTTAACACTACAGGACCCCATAATAACCATCTATCCCGGACCCTGCGAATAAAATATCCTGCGACATTTTTCTTTGCCTTATCGTATGTTGCCAGACGCTAGGGTGACCATGAATTTACATTCTTTGCTCGGACTTATAAAATTTAAGTTGTAGATAGAGTTACATTTGTTATATCAGTAAATTTATTCAATTTAATTTGTTAGTTTTTATAATTTTATTACATCCAAAATATTATCCTCTGATTCATAATATATGCCACCATCTTATCTTATGGGTACAACATTTAAAAGAAATAAGTTCTTAGAAACTATATCTAGTTATAGTGAACATTTACCCCATTTAAAGCTAGAATAACTTAATAAAGCGTTGTGATTTTTTTTGTTTTTTATGTCTAAAGGAAAGCAAAAATTTGGTCACTGTATCATATACTTTTCTATCTCTTTTCAACGCAAAACTTTTTACATTAACCTATCTCTTTTCTAAAGTTTCAAGGCGCGACTTCCCGCCGCCCTTTATTCGGTGCCTTTTATTTAGTTTTCGCCCCTTAATGGATTTATCTTGCGTGCTCTGACCTTGTCTGTTTGTCTTGTCGATTGCTAAGTCTTTTAAGTTTCTGTTCTCTATCGATTTACCTTCCGACCTTGAATATTTTAAACAGAAACAAGACTTTATTTCTTCGTATCATCGTAGACATTTCGCAACTAACTTGAAATGAATGATAGCTGATTATTATTAAAGATTACTAACATATTCTACCTTCGGAGCAATTAAAGGAGAGCCTTAGTGAAGTAATTAAGTTGAAACAAGATGAATTTCAATTGTTCGAGTAATCAATAATTCGTTGGTGATCGTGTATTATTTTTTAGACGTTCTAAATTTTGAACTCATATACTTTATCACTATTTATTTAGTAAAAGGTAAAGTACATAAGCGTTATGTACTATCAGGCGCACAAAGCGGCCACAAAGCGCGCTCTTCGGCGGCAGACGGTCGCCCGCGGGCAGGCTTTGTTATACTAACAATTACTAGCCCGTTGTACCTCGGTTTGTTTCGCCACTCAATTATCTAAAATATAGTGTTGCTTTGAAACGCAAATAGAAATTATAATATTTAATACTAACAGCTGCTCTGAGAGACGCTAACTAGTGTGTCTTATCTGTACAAATTTTACAAAGATAAGATTTGTATTTGTTTATCTAAAGAAACTCGAAAACAACTGCACCGATTTTAAAAGTTCTTTTACCATTAGCAAGCTGTTATTACCGAGTAACATAGGCGATATCTAATAGTAGATATCTATTTATTCAGCTCGGACTAGGCCGAGATCATTTGGAAATAAGTAGGAGCATTTGAATGGTTTCGATTGGAGGATCGCATTTTGTAGATGGCCTTGGGAAAGGTCTATGTCAAACAGTAGTCAGATAAAGGCTGTTGATGATGATGATTGGATTCATATTTTTAATTTATAAGAATTCGCAAATATTATGTTTATGTTCAGTTCTAGACGATTTCTTAAGTCTACTATAACAATCATTCATTCAATCATTACGTAGTTTTAAATTTCGAATGTCATTGCAAGATTTTTTTTTAATTCGATGCTGGCATAAGAAATCTTATGTGTATCGAATGAAATAGTCATTGGGGCGTGTGGATCGCCTTACAGATTTGTCGGCACTTTCACGCTCTACTCGGCCCGCGTTACCTGTCTCATGAACATGAGAGTAAAAAATATTGTACAGATGAAAGTTTATTATTATGACAAAAAGGTAAATGTAGATTGGATTTAACTAGTTACAGTTTTATCTTGTTATTTTTCAGATATTATGAATTTTGCCCGCGACATCGTCCGCGCGAAACCAAAAACTTAGAAAGTATCTTATGTGTTCTGCCAGTTTGTGGCTAACGTGCCAAATGTTATCCCGTAAAATCATTGGAGAAGCTTTTTTAAACTTTTTTAAACTTTAGCATTTGTAATGAGTATGATAAATAAGTAAAAATCAAAAAGACAAGTTTAACTGTTACTTTCTACAAACTCCTTAGATCTCAACCAAATACCAATAATAGGTCTTTGTGATCGAAATTAAAAATTCCATAACTCTATACAACTTATACAGTGTTCGGAGAAAAATTCTCAAAGCCACCTAATTGGATACAGAGTACAGACCACTACAAAGGGGGATGCTTGAGATAAAAATGAAAATTAAATCTTCCACGCGGATGGGTAGAGTAATGTTTTTGACGGTACTGAGGCGGGATTCCATCCCCCCACCCTAGACCGTGGGGGAGGACGCCGCAAATCGACTATCAAAATGCTGCTAAAAAAAGTTATGTTTCGACGTAGACAGTGCGACCGGCTGTTTGGTTCTTTTTGGCGGCGGTTTTTTTATTCTCGTCTGTTGTCAGTTGATGTGGTTATGCTTTAGGCAGTTGATTTAGGTTTTAAAATTCATTATTATTGGATAATAGACTTTGAAATTAATAGCATAGCATAGTTTTGTCTTGGTTAATATTATTTTATTTCCTACTTAACGTTACAAATGAATTTGTCGCATTTTTATTGTTTAAAAGAATATTTAAATCTATACTAATATTATAAAGAGGAAAGATTTGTATTTTTGTTTGTTTTAAAATAACTCAAAAACTATTAGGCAAATTTCAAATATTCTTTCTGCTAGCTAGTTCAATAGTGGAATAAATAAAAAAGGGCAACACTAACCTTTCTTCATAACTGGCATATCTGTACCGCAGTTAATAGTCTGTGGTCCAGGACTAAGGCTGTGCAGCTGGTAGGGCGGAGTTCTCGTGTCGATCTGCGTGGGCCAGGGTGCCCTGGGCCAAGCGGGGGCGGAGGCTGGAGCTCCGAGTAGCCGTAGACGCTCGTATACCGGCGTAGAACAATCAGAGCCTGACTGCTGGTTACTAGACTTCTCCTTCTGGGCGGCGAGGTTGCGAAGTACGCGGTTTATTGATGACACCTGCGGATAAAAGATAAGCCTTACTATGAAAAACTTAGATAGTGTTTCGAATACATTTTAGTGTAAAGATACGTCAACTCTTTTATATTGTTACTCTAGCGCCATCCCCTTTAGCGTATTTTTGACAAATCATAATTATTGGAACATCACTGTGCGTAGGCTTGCAAAATAATCAAAAATATAAGCATTATGACCTGCATAATATCAATGACTTCCGGTACCTCGGCTCATTAATCCAAAGCGACGGCTACATTGACCGTGACGTGACAAATAGAATAAAAGCGGGATGGATGAAATGGCGACAGGTCACAGGAGTAATATGCGACCCTCAAATTCCACTTAAATTAAAGGGGAAAATTTACAAGGCCGTTCTGTATGTTGGGCAGTAAAAGGGACGGATGAAAGAAGGCTACATGTGACAGAAATGCGAATGTTAAGATGGATGTGTGGGGTAACACGAATGGATAAGATACGAAATGAGTATATTAGAGGAAGTTTGAGAGTAGCCCCCATAATAGAGAAGGTTAGGAGTAAAAGGTTAGCATGGTATGGGCATGTTATGAGGAGGGATGAATCGCATGTTACAAGGAGAACGTTAGTTATGGGTGTGGAAGGGTACATCGGTAGAGGTAGACCTAGAAAGAGATGGATGGATTGTGTAAAAGGTGACATGATCAAAAAGGGAGTGATGACTGAGATGACGTATGATAGAGTTATGTGGAGGACAAAAACCTGTTGCGCCGACCCTACGGGAGTAGGATAAGGAGATGATGATGATGACCTGCATAATATCAATCAGTAGCTGTCAAAGAGTTAAAACTCAACAGTGTCTAACTATGTTTTTGTAATAATACTGGATTTATTTAGAAAACTGTTAAAAAAACTATGGAATATTTAAACACCTTTTTAACACCAACCTATTTTATCTTTAGTATGTAAACGTGGGGGTGGTGCTTTTCGTTTCTCCGAGTTAAAAATGCAATAAGCAATGAATATAGTAAAAAATAATAAAAAAAAAACAATTATAAAACACAGAAGAAGCGTAAATTGAACTAACCATAAATAAATGAAACATTTATGTGAACTGTTTTTATCATATAAAATTATTTTATAAACAACGGACACGCGCATAAACGTGGCCATGTGTGAAACCTTTGCCCGTTAAAAAAAAAAATAAAAACCTCTTTGGTCGACGCGGACCTGTAAAATAGGTCCCTTTAATTCGAATTACACACATGCATTGACTGGTTTCCACGATTGTACAGGCTTAATGCACCAATTAGTAAATAACCCTTGTACTAAAATCTTGTTTGTATATGTTTACACGAATTAATTCCTTCAAAGGTATGAACATAGACAATATTCGTTAACAATGACCGTGTTTCTCATTCGAATGGACTTAAATGAGTTTTTTATGGTTTACCGCGTGTTTACGCCGCATTAAATTTAATGGACCATTTATATCGTGGTTAATAAAGCTACCTGAAATTCGCCAAGAATCTTAACTAGTTGGATTACGACATAAATAGGATTATGAGGTTTTTTATGCGATCTGCTTTTGAAGACGTATTAAGTCTTAAACTATGTTCCTTTTGTTGTATTGCTTTGAATATTGTCACATGTTGACGAATCACTTTACTTAAAGATGTTGAGAAAATTATTGATTCATCTTATATTTATGTTGCAATATGGAATAGAAATTTTATACAATATTTTCTGTTAAGAAATTAATACTAATTGTTTAGTTAATTGATGATAAAGGAATGTGATAATTGAACGTAAATATTGTTTGTCTGTATTCTTTTGAGCGGAATAAAATAACGTTTAATTGACACGAGCCATCGGGTATAACTCTTTGTTAATTCGACCAGTAGCTTGTTAAAAACTTCCATTTCATTTTGTTACAGAACTCGACACTGCTAATAAGCAACGGAGTAAACAACTTTTCCATTCGGACGCTCACGGCAAAGATTGTGATAGCTTGTTATAAATTTCTAATACAAGAAATTTAACTATTTTCATAGATTAAGATCCAGACACTACAATATTGTTAGAATATTTGACTTCCTAATTTTTGTTTTAACATTGCGTACAATTTTATCCATGAAGCCATATACAATTATTAAAGAATCTAAACTTATTTGAACAAATAAAAATCGAAAACTGTCAACTGTCAAATGTTCGGATCATAGACTAAAAAAATGTTTCAGTTTTTTTTAAATCTACATTCGTTCGTCGAACGCGGCTCGCTTTCGCGGTCCATCGGGCATCGCGTCAGCTGCCCGTCACAGAGTAGCGAAGACCACCGCGCGGCAACGTCTCGAGTTACCATACCGTCTATCGTCTTACTGCCTTCCTGCCCTACGTCTAAGTTACGCGCCACGTCCGTTCGACGCGCTGTCACATGGCCTTATGACAGTTGGCAGACCGGTGGGACATTTTTGGTTTTCCTTCACGGGTGGTAATGGGTTATGGGTGGCCAGTCATGTCAATGATATTTGCCAGCTATTTATTAAATAAGTATTTTACCAGAGAAAGCGACTGAGTTAAAAGTTATTCTCCCTTTTAGTAGAATTCGTTGACTTTTTTCTATAGATTTTCCAACTTGTTAAAAGGAACCATTTACTAGAGTAAAATTTTCTTAAATTTTTCTTCTACTGTATTTTTACTGTTAATACGAATGAACAGATAATAAATTATACATCTATAATTTCAAGTTTGCTAACATTTATCGTATCACAAGATTAAACGATATTTAATTGAATAAAACGCCCATCGTATTACATTCTCTGTTGATTTCAATATACGCACTTCATTAAATTAATGTTCCATTCAAGAGGCCGTTCATGAGAACGCACCTAATAAATCGCCGCATATCATTTCACTCTCAAATGATTCCGAATACACAATAGTAAGGGCGAGCGTAGCACCTTAGACTTGGAGTACAGTGCCCCAAACAGAACGCCCCCTGTGACGCGTCACAATAATACACATTTATTGACAAACTGCCTATAAGTCTCAATCAAACAATGGTATTCCTGTATAAAATCTATTGACCCGTTTCTTTGATTGCACACAACAATGCTCGAATCAACAATTAAATTTAAATTTCGAATCGTGGGAATGGCGCGAATTAAGTAAGGCGCGCGCTGTCATCTTACGTTCGAGTGGCTAAATTCTTTTTTTTTGTCTAAGCGATGGGTGTGTCGCTATTTGCGGCCTTTCTTTCCAGCCAGCATTGTGGTCGCTTTTATTTTAATTGTTCGCATTTTCTTCTTTAACATGTTTTTGAAATTAATATAGAATTATTTTTGGACTGTATTCCCAAAGGTTAAAACAATAGTCATTCTATTTGTAATATCTAGAAGAAAAATATTTTAATTCAGCAAAAACCATTATGCCAGTATAGATTAAAAATAAAAAGATTTCGTTTTTTAATCGACGACTCAACCTCTTAATTTATTTATTTGACACTCCTTTATTAAAATAGGCATTAAGTTGATTCAAAAAAAAAATTAATGCAGTGTTTGTTTTCCAGTTACCAATAGTCTAATGAATAATTCTAAATTCTCAAAGTGATTTTAAGTGTTAAAATATAACACCTATGTTACAAACATTAGCCACTTGCCGTTTATTAACTTAAATAAAACAATAGTCACAAGAATCAAAAGGTTCGTTCAAACGAACAATCCGTGCACTCCAATTTAGCTATGTAATTCAGAATTTAAAACAAAAGGCATGCTTGATATGCACCTAAAGAGAACAGAGAAAGGTGAGCAGTTGTTCGCTTACGTTGCAAAAGGCTCTAAAAACATCTGAGAAGAGTAAAAGTCACCCAAAATATTGACTCGCAAAATGCCGACTCCGTGCACAATACCCAGCAGGTTGTCCTTTGTTGCCGACCCTTCTGTACTCAACAATGCTTACTGTTAATGCACTGCTTTTTTATTCGGCTCACATTAAAATTAAGAGAGAAGTAAGCGAGCGTTGTATGCGATAGCTGAGATTTAACTTTGTAACTTGATATTTTAGTATTTAAAGCATCTTTGTATTGCTATTATAAAAGAGATAATAATCAAAAGTTTCATTTAGTAAGCCTTAAGTTGGATTTAAGACCTTGGATAATTTAAAAATGGATCTGCAATTAATGTTCGATAGCACATTTCATTCAAGCTCTATTTTACATTACGTGCTCTTTCTTCCATTTTCCATGATTATAAACTCATTTTTAAATCAAATGATTTCAAATGAAATCAAAACAAAAACATTTGCAATAATTTGAATACGATATGAAATAAATTAAATTATCAATTTTAATTTCATCTAATTGGATTTGAAATGGAATGCAGTTCGTGCAAATCGAATATAATCAATAGAGACCCTTTATTTGCGCGTTCCGTTTCGCAAAACGTCGCTACAAGACCGGGTCTTGCGAAATAAAATAAAATAAAAAAAAACGCTCTCTAAGCTTATTGAAAAGTATTCTCGCCCTACGTTCACGGCGTCTGAGCAAATATAAGATAATTTTCCCGCTTCACCTAACACGGTATTTAGGGGGCACCTTTCATACTTTTTACGGACTACCGTTTGACGTTGGTAAAGTACGTACGGCGAATTGTAATTTATTTTGTATTCAAAACACCCGAGTCACGTGGATTCATATTTAAGTGTTTTGCTCAAGTCGAGAGGATTTTAAACAATTGTAAGAAAATGAAATATTAATTTGTAAAAGAACGATTCCTTTAAAAGTACAAAGCAATATTGATTAAGGAAGGACTTGAAGTAGTAGTTACATTTGAAGCGCAATAATAAACTATAAAAATACCGCTCAATTTTCATACAATGATTAAAATTGTAAATCATCTTGTAGATGTAATGTATAAATGAAATTATACTATGCTACAAAAAACCGATTTCAATATTTAATCAACCATTAACAATCTGCAGGAAAATACCAAATTTTCCCTTTGTATTATTGATAAAAAAAATATGAAAATGCG